ACGAACGACCATATCGAGCGTATCGATCCGACCGATTCCGAACTCGCCGAACCAAACTTCTGATGCTTGCCGATCTCCCGCCATTACCGTTATCCGACGGTCAAGCGGAAATAGGCTGCGCTTCGGACTCCAATCCCGTACTACGTTGTTTAACCTCCGGTTTTCGCGCGTCAGCCCGTCCCCTCGCTCCCCTGCCACGGTGCCATCGATCTCACCACCGCCCTCGCAATAGATGGGATAGCGGAAATAGTTGTCTTAGCGTAGCCGAGCCGAGACGACGCTATTCGACGTACCTCCGTTTCGCACATTACCAACCGACTATCGCCGCCGAAAACTGCCGTTATTCGACGTCAGTGGCTTACCAACGCCCCTATCGGACGACGATGTTATTCGGACAGACCAACCCATGTAGCGCGCCCCCTCCCCCATCGCTCACCATGCTCATAGTCCTGGCGTTAATGTTTATTTCGTCAATCGACCAATCTTTAAATTCAATTAGAAACAATAGTTAATTCAAGTTCATTCAAATCAAAATAAAATAAGTTAATTCCGATTCTCTTACCGCGCGCGACCTTTTATACTTATTAATTTCCATCCTCGGCTTCTGAGTTACAATATCACTTCTCAAGTCGTACATTCCATTAGGCACTCAAAATAAGTTACGAGCGCATTCATTTGGCAATTTTAACGGAAATCCCGTGCGTTAAAGTGCCCCCCCCCCTTAGTCCGCGACAAGGCCACCTAGAGATTTCATGACTAGTGAAATCTTGTTATCTCCCCACTAGTTTTTCTCATTTTGCATGTATGTGTCGAGTGGCATGAGGCAGTCGAGGAGTCAATACGTAAACGAAACAACGACGTTTACAATATAATCGAGTTGCTTCGTTTAATTTCGTTTGGCAATGGCGTAAGCCTCTTGCGCGTGCCATCTCCGTCCCACCCAATTCTAATCCCAAGAAATTTCAACCAACTTTGCGGTTGTTATCTAATGTTATTATTACCATTGTCATTATTATCACTATCATTATTATAATAATAATAATTATTATATATATATACATTATTATCATTATTATTATTATCATTATTATTATTGTTATTATTATTATTATTAACATGATTGTAATGCTGTTTTTGCAAGTATTAGTGCATTTTTTTGCAATTTTATTTTTGCAATTATTATTGTGAGTATGAATTGTACGAAAATTCCTTAAAGATTCATCTTTTTTTTTTTTTTAAACAACCAATTTATCAAACAAATACTATTATTGAATTATTCTAAAATTAATTATTATTCTAATAATTAATAAATTTTATTTCACAGTACACATTGAAAATATTCTTTTTACTCGAAAGAAAACTACCAGGTTATTTTATTTCTACTTAAGTGGTATATAAGTACATTAGATAGTTTATCATAATAAATAGTTTTCTTTGACTTGGCCCACTACAAAGCATATACATATTATACAAAACTTTTTAAACGAAAGGTACATTCAAATATTTATATTTTTTTTCCGATTCAACGTTACTAATGTGAGATGAGTATTAAATATATATATATATATAATTTTGTGTTAAAAAAAAAGATTTAATTGTGTGGAAAATTAAATAATACGTCTTAATTAATTAAACTAACAGTTTCAGCCATGATCAGTGAAATAAAATTCATTAGAAATTATACAAAGCATAATGTAATTATGTAAAGTTTCGTTGACAGTTGACAATGCCTTCTTAAAATGTATATTTCGAGAAGAAAAAAAAAGAAAAAATGCCATTCCTCGTAGTCGGTGTAAAGTTTAACACAGACACCTCTCCGTTTCAAGTGCATTTCGAAAAAATTTTCGCAAAATTTTTCACAAAAATTTTTCCAATAATGTTTGTCGAAGCATCAAAACATTTGCTCGGAACTCTGCACAATCCTAACTTACAATTGTCCCTTTGTTAAGTTTTCGCGCAACTTGCGCTCGTTCGTCCAATCCAAGTTTTATCTCATATCTTCTCCTCCCATCTTAAATGCCATCTGAAGGCGAGCGGCAAGTAAACGCACTCGTATAATAAATCAAACTCTGCAATATAACAAGCGAATCTCATGTGGCTGCCGTTGTAATGGACGCAATGAAAGAAAGTTTCTTCGGAATTACCATGAGAGAAGGAAGTGAATTATAACGTGAAAACGGAGATGTTTTTGACTAATAGTGGATGAGAGATAGATGTAAGCTCGAGTTGTGTTGAATTTTATCACTGATTTATCACTTTACTCGATAAAAGAAAATGTTTTATAGCAAAAAATATTCCCTTCCAAAGGTCGCGCCGTTAAAGCAATTTGATGGCATCTTGTACAATACAATGAAATGCACATGTACAATAAAACGGTAAGCATCCGTTTTCTTCCAGTAATTATGCAAAACTACGGCAGCATCATATATAACACATATACGTAATATATCCAAATAACATAATATGTCGGTATAGATGAAAGGAACATCCCACGAAACATAAGTAACAAAGATTTCTCATCTTTTTTCATCAAAAGTGTTATATTTTTTTCATGTATCACAATGTGAACGAATTACAGTATTCACGATTGGAAGAAAATGACTTCTCTTGAGATGATGACGCATCGCGATAAACCATCTTAACAAGATCGTATCGAGAAAAAGACGCGCAGCTATGCGGAACGCGCAATTATCGATTCCGACAAGCATATTATCCGTATGATTGGTATTGACCGACGCAAAAGAAAATCCGGACGCGGTCAACAGCGCTCGTGTTCGCCCCTTCCCCGCAAGGCAAAATCTGACAAGTAGAATCAAGGCCACCGTCTCTGCGACTTTGAATCACCTAAATGAATTACGATTGAGCGAGGTAACGAGGGGCGCCGTGCGAGCTTATAAATGAATTTGCCAAGCCTCGTGCATCCAGACCCTTGCGCCCGCCCCTCCGCCCCATCCCCTCGTCGTCATGCTCATCATGACGTAGCTCGGCCCGAGACGAGACACGGCTCTCAAAATTATTCGCCGATGAGCGAGCGGCCCTCTCCTTCCGGTCAATAACGCGCCATTGTCGACGCTGATGTCGAACAATGCCCCGGACGACAAAGGCGCTCGTCTATTTTTTTCCACCTGATCTTCCTGCGCGACCTTCTTTCTTTATTCGACGCGTTTTTTCAAAGGAACGGGAGATATATCTGTCCACGCTGTCAATGGATTGGATGAGAGAAGCTGGTGAAAAGCTTAAAAAAAAAAAAAAAAAACAAGAAACAAAAAACAAAAAACAAAAAAGAAAGACGAAAGGGAAAGAACAAATGACGCGTAGAAAACATCTTTTACCCTTGGTCGACTTTTGGATTTATTACTGTACATACGTTATGCGTTATTTGGCTGAATTAAAAAGTTAAAAGTTTTGTGGAAATTCTGAGTCACTTGTGCGCGTGATTTTGAGCATTGCAATTAGAATGTACAGTTATCGCTAATACCTAATGTATATGTACTAATACGGATTACGCATATTGTAATTGTCGGATTGATAAAGTCGAGTGATCGACGAAGGTTATGAAATACCGAATACGAAGCACACCTTGCACTATAATAATTGAGGTCTCTTTGAGATGCGCCTTATTACAGTAATTATAGTGGAGAGGAGAAAACAGTATTGGTAGTAGTAGTAGTAGTAGTAGTAGTAGTAGTAGTAGTAGTAGTAGTAGTATCATCAATCATATGTGTACAATTATTAAAGTTCATTATATAATTTGAAATTAATAAGCATAATTTATATTTTATTTAATGACTCGTAAGCAATGATTAGAATTTCTATATATAACACAAAGATTTCCATTATTATAAATTTTGCTTTGAAATTAATTATTATCCCAAAAGGAATGTTCTAATGAAATTATTCTACCAATGAAATTATTTTATAATACACGATAATGCATAACAGCTGATACAAGTTAATTATTACTACTAATAAAGATAATCCAATATCATAAAGTAGTACTCAGTTTCTTTTTTTTTTTTTTTTTTTTTTTTTTTTTTTTTTTTTTTTTTGTTTTACTTTTAAATGATCAGCATATATATTAAATAGTAATTATATTCAGAAAACGTATGCAGCGCAAATTGAAATTGAAATTCATTAATTTAAGTAACATCGACACTTCGTTAAAAGTATAAGTTATATAGTACTTTTGTTTGAATTTTATGAAAAAATTTAACATAAGATAAAATTTCTATAGACAAATCATTTTGAATTCTTAACAATGTTTGGCTTTTCTTATATTTTATTAATGAAATAATTATCACAGAAGCGTCAGCCTATTTTAATGATTTTTTTATCCTTGAGCTTCATTACCGAAGACTATAAATCATCGCATTTTATCGTATCCAAATTTCTCCACAACATGAATTTTTTTCTTTCTTACTACGAGTAAAGAACTTTAAAAAAAAATTGAGAAAATGAATAGAAACGTAATTCGGATACAGTATAGATACAGTACGCATAAAAGTTAAAACAGTGTGAAAATTGTGCTGATCTCCGAATTTAATAATTCATAAAGAGATTTATATTGTTATTGCAGTGGTGAGATGGTTTCTTTTTTTTTTTTTTTTTCCCGCCAAATTAATAAAGTTTAAATGTCAATACGCCTTGTAATACCTCGAATACTAAATTTCGCGATAATAGAATTATTATGATTCTATCATAACTCTAAGTATACTTGAACTACGAGATTACACTCGGAATTATTTCGAAGTATTCCATTAAGCAACGAACACGAATGAGTATCGTAAAACAAATAGATATCCGTTTAAATTAAATTAAGCGATAATTTAGCCTCTATAATCATGTCGAAGCTCATCCAACGATTTTGCAAATAAAGTTATATTTCGTATTTAGCTGCTTAAGCCAATGCCAATGCGCCAATACCCGACAATCGACAACATAACGTTAGAATTACGCTATTGTTTAACGATATAATAGTGCCGAATTTTTATGTATTTCAGAGCTAAATTCGACGGCGTCCTCGATGAGCGAAGGTAGTGCATCGGATGCAATCGACAGTGCGGATCAGACATTTACGGATGTGGAAGTCGAGAGCGACGAGAACGACGCCATGGACGACATTCTCTATATGCGCGGCGCCTCCTTCACGATACACCTTGATTTATCCAAGAGCAACGCTACTTCCAACGTTTCGCACGTACTTCACAGGGATAAGGATACGAACGAATTACCCGGAGAAGAGAGGCCGCCGCCGCCGCCGCCGCCGCCCTCCTCCATTATGCAGGTACGCAAGGACAATATTCTAGCCCTTTTCTATACAATATCCCACGGTGATTAATGCAAATTTAACAATTCTCAACTGGTCTGCTTTATAAAGCATTGGGAACAAATTAATTAAACAAATTAATTTGAAAATATATACCTTAATAGCGTAGTAATGAATTTGTGGAAATTCAAAGATGTGCAAATACGTACGTAAGCTTTTATCCTGTCGACTGCCGCGCCTACATATTACTTACTCATATGTAAACGGCATAATTACTTTCTACCTCCGAGAGAGGAAAAAATAATGTTTTTTATCCAAATTCATCAACTAAGTAAATGATATACGATGTAACGTATTTCTATAGTCGGTGAATTTTGTAGATCGATTAGGGCCGATCGAGATTATAAAATAGAGTTTCTTAAACGAAACACGATACCATTCACTGCAATGTCAGTTCTACGCAGAAAAATAAAAAACTCATACTCGAAAAGCTATTTCGTCAATGACTCCATTAACCGAGAAATGACTTTTCAAGTGCTACTATTCAAGATAATAAGTGCTATTTGTTGCAAAATAATTGAAAAATCGGAAATAGAAATTAAAGCAAAATAAATACTTCTTCCTATCATTTGCCAATAAATTCGATAATAAAGCTGACAAGATGCCATTATCTTCCATTATCTTCCATTATAATTGACGGCTACAAATGCTTAAAATTAACCTATACAATGCGAAAATATAGACATTGTAGACGAATGTATCGAACGGGTTCTCAGTAACACGATCAAAATGACGTTCATATGTACTCTGCTACGTAACCTACTACCAGTTCATAAAACATAAAAGTGACCCGGATAATCATTCTCATTTCACCGATGAGCCACAAAAAATCTGAAATTCACGCACCGACGCTAATGATCTGTCGTCCTTTTGCTCCAGAGCTCGAACTCAGGGAGGGGACAGGAGCGAGAGATCGAGGGCGTTGAGGCGGATGAGACGCCAAGTCCCTCGGAGGATCCCGGCTGCGATCTCAACTGTAGCCCCGGCAGCTGCTACCTCGACCTGGCCACAAACGACATTAGCGCGATAGCCGAGGAGCCTCGGCATCCGCGTAATAGCAACACGACGTCGATAACGCCGATGGCGATGACGACAACGGCGCCGAGGATGTCAACAAAGACAACAGCGACGAGGCTGACAACGACCAGGACGAGTACGATGAGGATGCCAACGCCAATGCCAACGCCGATGCCAACACCGATGCCAACGCTAATGCCAACGCCGATGCCAACGCCGATACCGACACTGACGCCACCACTGCCGTCACCACCACTACCACCGACGACGACGACGACGACGACGACGACGACGACGACGACGGCAGCGACTGCGATCCAGAGATGCCAATGCCCCCTTGGCCGAGGTGGCGATCGATGTCAACACGGTGAGTGATTCCGGCGCTTGGCCTTTACATATCTACCGGCCGCGCAACGACCCTCGCGGGTTTCGACTCACCCTGACGTACGGCTAAACTCTCGCCATTACGACCTTTTGCAAATTCCACTTTAGGAAATTGAACGGCATTTACGAGCCAGCCGGGAGCTAAGCTCGATATTTCAACAGCCGTGGGGGCACAGGTGCAGCGGCGGTGCTGGCGCAGGGCAACAGGGGCGCGGAGGGGCAGGTACCCCGCTGTTCGAACGGCTTGTTTCATTATTTTTAATTGGAGTGTGTGGGTTTGTACGCTTTTCAGAGCTCGACGGCTGCAACAAAGAATCTTAGTAAACAGCACAAGCGCGTGACGTCTTTTACGTTGACGAGGGTAGTTTTACTTAATGCTCACTTTGCTGATACGTCATTACATGAAAATGAAGCTCGGAGGTTTGAATTGATTCGTGGAAACTGCCTGGTCTGCCTGGTTGATTGCTCGAGAGGATAAAATTATTCTTAAAATAACGGCGCTATGCGCCAATGCAATCCGATTTTATTTATACAATTATATGCGTCAATTGCGGATGGCGTAATTGCTTTTAGAAGTTATTAGCCAAGAGTTTTGGTAAGGGCACACGTCCCATTCTTACGGTACTTAAATGCTAAATATTATATGGTATTTAAGTTTTCAATAATTAAAATGTTTACATTAAATATTAAGTGGGAAAGCTTATTTCTGTCTATTCAAGGGGGGGGGAACTTACCGTTTAAAAATAAAACTTTGAGCCTTGGTAAAAACCGTCTTATTGGCATTGATGCATTAAGAAATTGCAAACCGCGTTAAAATAACAATTATGATGATGCATTGAATACTTTTTCTGCACTGATTTAAAAATTATAATGATGACTGTTACAATTCACGCGCGAGTAAACAATTACATAAGAGGGCGCGTGTTTTTCTCATTCGAGCTTATCGATGATGTGTCATCGGAATTAAAACTATCGGAAAATGTCTGCTTTATATCAACAAATTCAATCATAATTGTTGTAAGATCATTCGATTGTAAGTCATTCGACTTGAGTACCGAAGATACGTGTTTTACCGGTAAATATTGCGATAAAGACGATAAAGAGTAATTGAAAGGTCTCTATCTTCTCCCCCTCCGACTCTATGTCCGTAATTAAAATAAAAAAATTCATACTACCCAGCTTGTAATTGTATACATATTTTAATAATTATTTTGTACGATAATAGGCTGGAAAAAGGAGAGAAAGGCTCATCGTAGCTACAAGCTCGTATTGTTAAAATGCTCGAATATAATATCACACTGCTCCGTTAATTATTATAACTCGGACAGACATAAGTCATAAATAAGTCAGCCATTTGATGTTCCATATTCTCCCTCTCGTTTATATCATTATTACCGATATTGCTTTCTGCGAAAGTTATTTTCTTCTTTATACACGAGACAGTAGCTTTACCTAAGTTCACTTTCCACAATGTCATTGTCCTCGTGTTACAGTGCGTCTAGCTCTGCCCGATTCTCGTATTTTTCATCTCAACCCCAACACGACAACGCGTTATATTTCCTATCTTGCATATCTAGAAGGGCATAGATTATGTCTGTTAGTGAATAAACGTCCCCGAATGGAGCGAGCGACATTCGATTCAATATGTTTAAAGCATAAGAGCGCTTTACAGAGGCAAGAGTAAAAATATATAAATTACAATGCTTGAACGTAATTTCCCCCCTTTTTCAACGTACCTGCGTATATAACAAATAATGAAAATATGAAACTTTTGGCCACGATTGACAAATGAACGCTGCCACTCCGATAGTAAATGTGACGAAAATTAAATTGCCGATGTGTAAAATGTAAAAAAATTGCACATGCCATTTGCCAAGACAATTCATGCTTGGAGTAATGATTCGGTTAACGCCGACTACTGAAATCAACGATCTATTCTTCAGGCACAGTGCAATTTCTGAAATGAAGAAATGAAGAGATGAAGAGAGTTTCCGAAATAATTTATTGCAAAACAATCGTTAAAGAGATTAAGCCTTAAATATGTTTCATGTGTTCGAGTATCTATGGAATTTCGTAAATATGCCAAATAACGAGTGTAATTTCAGAGTGAAAATTGAAATAACTTGGCAGAAAACGTTGAACATTTCGAGAACTTTGGAATATTTGTTTACGGAAATCACACTTTTTATTGCAAACACTCGTACTACCGTAATTTTTTCACTTCAATGTCACATTGCTGGAAACAAGTTTCGTTTAATTGCTGCATACATTTTAATATTTGAATTTTCTTTGCCAACTAAATGAGCGGGATTTTTCTTTTAAAGATAATCATTGAAAACAAAATGGCGATACTATACCGTCTCATTTCTGCGAAAGACATAAAATTTATGTTATGAGAATAGTCCATCAAGAGTGAAAATATCACTGGGAATACGAATGTTCTATATCAATTTTATGTCTCTAAGGAAAAATGCAGAGATACTCATCCGATAGTACCTATACTAATATATATATATATATACTTATATTTCAAATTCTGATTAGGGTTCATTTAATTTCATTTTTCATTATTATACCATTGAATATCAATTCCGAGCAAACGTGAAAAATTCTTGTTAAAGTCTGCTCAATGATTTCTTAAATTGATCGCGCATATTTTTTTATATAGATATCTCGATCCTTACAATGCAAATATTCTACCGATGTTGTCCCTCATCATTTTTTACCAACAAGCTTTTACAAAATCACATCATTACACAACATCGCTTCTTCTCGCGATTGAATATTTTTTATCCCTAATACTAAATAGTAAAACCTTAAAACCTTTCGAGATAATACGCGATAAATTACAACAGACACTTTTTATCCTACAGCTAAGTCCTCCTATTAAATCTCTTTTCTTAATCGACACTCAAGATTGCACAATATTTGCAATTTGCGCGGGGAAACTTCATCAGTCCACGAATACAATAAAAAGTAAGCTCTCGTATAAAACTATTGTTCGGCAATTACGGTGAATTCAAGCGCCAAGCATATTTTGAATTAAAAGTATGAAACACGACGCATCTGTAGAATCGAATCCAACGCATATAAGCACAGCCATTCATCGGGTATATTGCATTAAGCGGAGGCGTCGATGAAATTATGATGAGCGAGACATGGAAAGGAGCACGATGGATCTCCCCCGCCACCTCTCGCCGCGCCCCGTACCGTAGCAGCACCCGCACTTTTAGCCTGTCAGCGGCAGTACGAACATCGACGTAATTGTCGTTATTAGCGCCGTCGTCTCGTCCTCTCCTCTACATGCGATCACGAACTAAACCTATCGCCGCATTCCCCAAGTCGTAAAGCCTCATCTCGCAACGGAAGAGTAGTCGGTAGTCGGCGGGGTTGATGGGACGGGAGGGGGGCGATTGGTGGGCAGGAATGGGAGGGACGGCAACCGCAATGTGATACGAGGCCGTGGTTGTGACACGCGACGAGTACTTGGAGTGGACGCGAAGCGGCGGATTTCGATAAAGGTGCGCGTGTTGACGTACGTAAAGTAAACGTCGGAGCCAACAAAGGCCACGGCATACTTTAAGCCACGCGAGAAGATTAGAGCGCACCCCCCGATGACAGAGTCCCAGTCGCTGAGGATTATCGGACTCTGGTTTCCTAGGGAGATGGGGATGGGTGTGTGCCTGTGTGCGCGAATAAGGTAGGCGAGGGCACTCGAGACATACACATGCACGTGCACGTCGACTGCGAATCCAAAGCCAAAGTTGCATTCTCTTTCCCCGTTAACTCGATATATATATATATATATATATATATATATATATATATATATATATATATACATATACATATACATATGCATATACATATACAGTGCGCGTGTGCGCGCGGGCATTGAGCGACGAAAGTCATTTTCCTCGTGAAGCAGGGTTGGTTGAGTGGAGTGTGAGGGGATGGGTT